GGGGTATATTATATCCGCCGACGGGATAGAATTGAGCCCGAGACACACGGAAGCGGTTCGAGAATTTAAGCAACCGCGTACCGTCCTGGAAATACAAAGATTCCTGGGCTTGACAAATTATTTCCGCCGGTTTATTAAAGATTACGCGCTTATAGCAAAACCAATACAGGAATTAGTTAAGAGAAACGTGCCCTTCGACTTCGACGACCGATGCGTCGACGCGTTCGAGAAATTGAAGCAGGGATTAACGTCGTCCCCGGTGCTCCGGTTATATAATCCGGCGGCGCCCACGGAGCTACACACCGACGCCTGTAGCTCGGGTCTGGGAGCGATCCTCCTCCAAAAACAAGAGAACAGTTTATGGTCACCAATCGCGTATTACAGTCAGGGCACTAATCAGGCAGAGAAACGCTATCATAGTTACGAGCTGGAAATGCTCGCGATCGTAAGAGCAATCGAGCGTTTCCACTTGTATCTGTACGGAATCGAGTTCACAATAATAACGGATTGTAACGCGCTTGTATACGCTATGAATAAAGCGAATCTTAACCCGCGGATCGCGAGATGGACGCTGACGCTACAAAATTATAAATTTAAAGTTACTCACCGCCCTGGCAAACGCATGTCCCACGTAGACGCACTCAGCAGGTGCACAGCCTACGTAAATGAGCTGCCGCTCGAACGGGAGTTAGAGCTCCGACAGCTAACAGACCCTCGAATCCTAGAAATAAGCAAAAGGTTAGAGTTAGGAGAAGACAATAAATTTGAATTGATAAATGGGTTAGTATATAAGAAAGACGAGAACCAAAAAAGATTCGTGGTGCCGGAGTCAATGAGCATGAGCATTGTGAAGGCTCATCACGACGAAATGGCTCACTGTGGGGCCGAGAAGACGTACAACGGCATCGCCAAGAATTTTTGGTTCCCGTCCATGCGAAAAATAGTCTACGATTACGTAGAAAATTGCCTTACGTGCGTTATGGCAAATAGCGCATCGAACCGATTTGAAGGCGAAGCGCAGCTTTTTCCCCTTCCTAGCGCTCCGATGGAAGTGCTGCACATAGACCACCTAGGGCCCTTGCCAGATTCTCCCGACGGATTCAGGCACGTACTAGTGGTGGTAGACGCATTCACCAGATTCACCTGGTTATGCGCCACCAAATCTACAGGAACAAAAGAGGCCGTTAATAATTTAAACACGATTTTTGACACGTTTGGTAGACCGACAGAAATAGTGTCGGACCGAGGTACGGGATTCACGTCGAAGGAATTTCTCGAGTCGCTGGAGAAGCAACGAATTAAACACCGGAAGGTAGCCGTAGCCGCGCCGTGGGCGAACGGCATAGTTGAGCGCGTCAACCGGTTCATAAAAACGTCGTTGATAAAACTAATTACAGAGCCAAGCGACTGGAAACCGCACCTCGGCACGATACAGTACGTGTTAAATAATACTCACCACACGAGCGTTAAATCAACTCCGGCTAAATTGATGCTGGGATTCGACCAGCGAAATCACGCCGACTTCGCGCTTGCGCAGCTCACAACCGCGCTGGCAGAAGTAGAGTCCGATTTACAAAAAGAAAGAGAGTCCAACCGGAATGTAGCACAATCGGCGACGGATTTATTGAGACAGTACAATAAAAAATATTACGACAAGCGCCATAAAAAACCCTCGGTTTACCGCGAAGGCGATTTCGTATTGATAAAAAATGATAGAAATAAACCCGGGGAAAGCTCAAAGATTAAAGCCGCTTATAAAGGTCCATATAAAATCGCGAAAGTCTTAGGCTGCAACAGATATGTGGTTAAGGACATACCGGGCTTCAGCCATACGCAGAAACCGTTGGACACAATCCTCTCGTCCGATCGACTCAAACCATGGATTCGGGTCGGCGAACCTGAAACATAAAGAAATAATAATTAAGACACGCGCGAGAAAACTAAAATTGTTAATTAACCTAAAGCACAAGGCCACAATCGTCAAAGAAAACGAGAAGGAAATGAGTACCACCATAGGGATACCCATTCGCTCATGCCTTGTGATTCAGGTTAATAAATTATGATTAAGGCTAGTTTTAAGTTGAATTATGCGTTAGAATTTAAGTAAGCTAAGAATCTGTACCAAAGAGAGACGTGCAAACCGCAAGAACAAAGACGACTTACCTCGGCGTTCGACTAAATCCCATGAACTTGCACGAACTGAGAACCACTGGGGGTACGCGCAACTTCGAGACGCAGTTGCAGGTCAGAAATGGCCGAGATGTAAGAAACCAGAGGACAATGCGCCGGCGCACGGCACATTGTCAGCTGGCCGCGCGGCGCGCTGCGGGCCAACCGTGTTCAGCCAATGAACTTGGCCCCGCGAACTTGCTCATGCGCAAGAACGGGGAGCGGGCATTCGAGCTCCGATTTCGTGGAAGAGAGATCACTCTCCTCCGAGACGGGACACAGTAAGCAGCACTGGTCTCGAGAGTCATTTGTACAGAGTTAATTCAAATATAAGTTCGTTTCTTCATTTATTTTATTCGTATAGTGAGTACAGCTAAGTTCCCTCTTTCCTACGCTCATCCAGCATCCTGATTATTTCCTTTTCGGGGGGAATAAATCCCTATTCCCCCTTACAGCTGTGAATAATTCATTTTTAGTTTTGTTTAATTTTTATTTTTACAAATTGTACCGCTTGTGAAACAAAGAGTACTATCGCAACGTCCACTGCTGTTATTTTAGTTTATTTTCTTATTTAAATAGTACTCTTTGCTTCACAAGCGGTACAATTACTATTATATTACGACAGGGAGCTGTTTAACGGCAACGGCTGTGAATAATTAATTTTTAGTTTTGTTTAATTTTTATTTTTATAAATTGTACCGCTTGTGAAGCAAAGACTACTATTACAATTAAATGAAAAGAAAAATAAAATATTACAATTATACATAATAAAATCTTATTTATTTATTTTATTTCATACCTACATCCTCAATTCTATAGTTACAGCCCAGCAAACACAAATATATAACTGTTACATTGCCGTAATAAAACGGATTGTAACAGGTAATATAACATGTGCATTACATGTAACGCACATGTTAGTTGTAATTTCCCACTCATGGGATATTGCAATTATATAACTGTTATATATAACATATAACCAAAATGTTATATAACTGTAACACAGTAATATAACTGTTATACATATAGTAGTTATAAAAGTTATTGAAATGTTATATAACTGTAATTTAAGTTATTCTAATGTTATATAACAGCTATAAAAATAATTACATTGCAGTTATATGTATAATTATATTTAATATTTATATATTTTCGCAAATACAATTCCCAGAAATATCAAGTCCCTCAATTAATTTTAAATAAAACTAAACGAAAATTCACTGAGAATATATTTCGTTTAGTTTTATTTAAAATTAATTCAAGAACTTGATATTCCTCGGAATTGTAAAAGTTTATAAAAGATAGGTGTAATGAAAACAGATAACAATTTTCAATAAAGCTCTTTTAATAATATATTATTATAAAGTGTATATATAATATATATATAACATTTTAATATAACATATATTTAATATAACTAATAAAAAAATATATAAAAAATATATTTAATATAACATAAAAACAAAGCAGATACAACTTAAGATTGGTGTCCTTTTTCACATTTATCATAGTGTAAGCAGGAACTACATAGGATTTGTTCTCGACTAGATCTTGTAGCTTGAGAGCGCACAGAGCAAACGTTGCAATTTCTATTTCCAACTGAGTTTGTTAATCATGACTCGCAAGTTATCTGCAAAGGTAAAAAGACTTAAATTAGCTTCCAAGCACAGAACAGCTACGGAGTTCGACTTTTTCTGCTTCAAATCGTGTATAGCTTGCTCGTGGAACTCCAGAATAGAGCTCTCGTAATTGAAACCTAAGAAATAATACCCTAATAACTGCACCGTGTGTGTATATTGATCACTCGGCTGTAGCTTCCTCAATTTTTCCAGAACCGCTGCCACGCCGTTCGCAAATGCGACCTGTTTCTCCAGTAAACTGTTGACTTCACGCAGACACAACGCGGTAACGTCGTACTTAGAGATATCGATTGAAAGTCCCAGTTCGCTCTTTATCTCATCTTCATCACTGGTCAAGCAGTCCAGCATAGCTAAGCTTGCGACTTCTTTGGACGTAATTTTCTTAATGTGCACCCATCTACGAAAAGCTTTTGTGTTTGACTGGTTATACGTTAACAAGGCATTCAATGCGCACACAGTCGCAGCTTACCTATACAAATTATTGCTGTAATATATAACGCTCAATCTGTCCAGCACGAAAGAGATATTCTCAAGATTCCTGAAGCTCTCAGAATCTGTAGGGCTCGGTTCGACTCCGTCGAGTCGAGAGATGCAACTGCACAAGAAGGTGAACATACAGTAAACACACGCTTTCCTCGTACACATGTTCAGACAGTACGCCTACGTTGTAAGTTAAATTGCGACACGTGTTCCACGATTGTCTCCGATTGTCTCCAATACTTACATTCGGATTCCTTCATTTCACAAATGACCCACTCGACATTCCGCTTCATAATTTTCCTAGTAACAGCGCACGCTTTCGCCGGCAGAGTTTTAACGGGAAACTTACATACTAGACTGACGAATCTGCATTTCATCACCACGGCGTTGTACAAGTCCCTCTTAACTGTACAGAGTTTGCCCAGGCACGACTTGCACTTGACCGACACGTGCGTGGAGTAAAATTCAT